TCTTTCTTTCTTTCTTTCTTTCTTTCTTTCTTTCTTTCTTTCTTTCTTTCTTTCTTTCTTTCTTTCTTTCTTTCTTTCTTTCTTTAAATCTCTAAAGCCTCCACCCACCAAAACATTACACCAAAATTCAGCCACTGCAAACCCATGTGACAAGCTTGTTACAAACAAGGAAAAGAGGTTTCTTTTGAACAGAGGTCTGGGGAAACACAGCTGGGCAAGTAGATGAGAACAGAGTTCCACTAGGTCCTAGGCTGGGTCCCCTTAGGAGGGCAACATGGAACTGCAGGCCTCATCATGAATGTGTAGAGAGAGCCAGCAAGGACCGTGAGCTTATCAGTATGTCATTAGATCCCCTTGGCATGGGACACACGTGTATGAAATGGCCCTGGAGCAGAGCCAACCAACTAGTTTTCACAGAGACTGTGTCACAGCATTGGGCTCATTGAAAGAAGCAGAAGAACCATTTCTTTTAACTGTGGGATTCACATCCCGAAGCTCTTATGAACAGTCTTTCCAGTTCAATGAAGACCCTTATTTCTGATTCTGTGTATATGATGAATACAACACAGCCTCAGGGATCAGTTTCTGTTTCGGGGCACTGCTTGTGGTGGAATGGTGAACCTGGTGCCTTTTTGGCAAGGTTTCCCAAGTATAGGGTGGTATAATCTGCGAGTTTTGAATCGGGATTCAATTAACATTTTGTGCCAAGAAAGGGAGAGGTTTGCTGAATGTGTAAAGATTCTTCTGATCAGTTTTCTCTAAACAATACAGGACAGCAGCTGTTTACATCACATTTCTACCGCACTGGGTATTGTCAGTAAACTAGAGGTGGTCTCAGTACATGAGGCACTCATACTGTGCAATTCATGTAGCGGACCTGAGTATTTGTGAGGAGTCTCGGAAGGCATACCCTCTGCAGACTGCAGCAGAACTGTGCCTCTCCGTCTCATGATGAGAACAATGGATGTGGCCAAGTAACCTGTTTCAGCTAATGGAATGTAAGGCAAGTGGCAGTATCCCGAGCAACTGCTTAAAGGCAATCCCTGCTTTTGCTAATAGCGCAAGATAAATGTCCCCTTAAAGTCTGTGGGTATCACCTGAATACTTAATGAGAATGGCACCTCCATAGGCTCATATATTTACAAATGTGGTCTCTACTTGATGGAACTGTGTGGGAAGGATTAGGAGGTGTGGCCTTGTTGAAGACGGTGTGCCACTGGCGGTGGAAGGTTTAGAAAGATGTGCTGCTCCCAGTTAGCTCACTCAGTCTCGTTCCCTTTTCCTTCTTCCCTCCCTCCTTCTCCCTCTCTCTCTGCATGCTTGTGGATCAGATGTAATCTCTCATTTACTGTTCCAGCACTATGCCTATCTACCTACTGCCATGTTCCTCACCAGCTTCGACAAGAGGCAGCTCTTCCAGGCTGAGTCTTTTAAGTGGTAGGCAAGCAGAAAAGCCTGTGATATGCCCAGCAGTGATGGAGAGTATGTGTGGTGAATGGTGTGATGATTGCCACTGATATTCAGCCCAGTCTTTATAACAGTAACCATGCTTCAGCTAGCCTCCTACACAGCAAGACCAGGCAGCCTGAAACTTGCCTTAACAGAAACACTTGGAAGAAGGGAAGCCATGGGAAAACCAAGTTTGATATTTTAACTGGGTATTCAAAAATACTCCTGACACCTCTATTTAACTTAAAGTACTCATGAAAACCAATACCTCTGAAATTCTAGTGTGGTATTTGATAGCAAAACCCCATGAAAGAAAATCAAAACTCTTACCAGCAACTTATCACTCTTGTGCTCAAGTATCTGGACTCTTTGTTTTAAAGTATTCTGGTAGAGAACATTAAAAAAAAAAAAAGAATCAAAATTCTTATCCAAAGCATCAAGACCACAGACCTTCTGTCAGCCCCTCTCCCAATACAGACATCAAATCTGACTGTACAGAGTAATGGCTACATTCTAGAAAGTACAGTAAACATGAGCAACAACAATTCATGTGTAAGAAAACCTATAGCAGAGGAATAGGATCATAGTCTTCTTTGACTTTAAGGGCTGCAAATCACACATAGTGTGCAGGAACTCCTTCAAGACAAGTTTAACCAGTGGGAGGACACTGTTAAAAGAGATTTAACATGGTTTAGATTAAGGTAGCAAACTTAATCTTTAAAAGGCCAAATACTTCAGGTTTTAGGGGCCATATTCTATTTTTATGGCCAATAGCAGCCATAGATGGTTTTCTAATAGGGGTTGCAATGGCTGTGTCCAAATAAAAGTTTATTTAAAAAAAAAAGACTGGGAGTAGACTGGATTGGACCAGGCTGTGCTTGATAAGGGCCAGTTTGCCATCCCCTGGTTTGGATGATCGATCTATGGCCAGGTTGTTCTAGCTCTGAAAAGATCAGGGTGTCCTGATTTCTTGAAGAAAAGCATTGAAGGGAAATGCAAAGAACTCATGAGTTGATTACTATGTTGACAAGCTTCTTCTGGGTACACAAAAAACAGAAATGTATTGAGCCAGTACACAGCAAATATGAATCCAATGGGAAAATTCTGTGCAACTCTAGCAAACCAGGAAGCAAGGAAGAGAAGACAGAGAGACAACTAGAGTGAAAATTAGATCCACAAGTTTCTAGGTGGGGCAGGATGGAGTTGCATACATCTGCAAATGGGAGCAGCTGACCTAGAAGACCCAGTTGCCACACAGTCCTCCCTTTTGACAAATGCAAGCAGGCCCAAGAGCAAGAATATCATTGATTCCTCTGGTTTCTAAGTCCCAAAGGTTAGAAGTCGAGGTCATCCATCTCCATGAATCAAGTGATGGCAACATAGGAGCCACGCTAATATCCCATCATTCTCTTCACTTCTATTATTTGAAACTTCATTGTTTGATGAGGACATTGGGAAATCACTATGTTTTAGATGGACAAAAGAGGGGTGTGAAACCAGGTCTGTGTGATTCCAAACTGCAAACTACATCTGTTACATTAAAAGTGAGGGAACAAAAAGTTGGAGATAGAACAGAGGAGAAAGAGAACCATGGAGGGAGCCAACACAGCTAAGGGGAACCGAAATACTTAACCTCACCCTCACATATGTCTAAGCAGAGTCTGGAGAAAAGAATTGGAGAATATGTCAGCATGAGGCCAGAGCACAGTCACATTACCCAGGAGGAGTACAAGCTAGGGCGAGGTGCTGGAGACAGGTGTGAGGCTAACCTCACTGCTCCCAGTCTCACAGAAGAAAGAGAGGGAAGCCTAGCGAAGGAAGGCATGACTTGAGGTTGTGTTTTTTAAAAGTCCAGCTCCATATCGGAGGCTGAGGCTGAGTGGATGGATGGGCCCTCCATCAAATGAGCGTGTTTCTCTCGGCTATCGGTAAGTGAACTAGCTAACCAGGTGCTGGATTTCGCTCAGGCCACCACCAAATGCCACAGGTTGTAGACTGTTACCAATAATTGCTGCAGAGGAAGTACTTGGTGCTGGTGGATGGCTCTAATATGCTCTACATCCGCTTTCCAGGCCTGTTTCATGTTTCCTTCAGGCTACAAAAAAAGAATACATATAAGGATCAATACCACAAAACAGACCCTTTAGCCATAAAGGACACCAGAAGACATTACACAACCACAGGAACCTCTCTTAGACAATCATGACGTGGCTAGGCACTGTGGCTAGCGGGGAGACAAACACCTAGATAAACTGCTTCAAACTACAGAGCCACAGACTCAGCAAAATCTCACCCTCCTCGTACATCCTAAGCACAAGATGCTGTGGTTTCTTTTTCTCTGCCTCCAAAATTACACAGCCACTCAATTTTCCTGTTTGACAGTCGAGAAAAACCAAGGCTCAACTGAGGGTGACTCAGGTTAATTCGCACTTAAATGATGGTCAGTATGTGGACTTCAGCAGTCCTGTAAGAGGGGTTATAATTATGGCCTCCATTATACAGATGGGGAAAATAAGGCACAGGTGAGTAAACAACCTGCTTAAGCTACTAGCATTAGGAAGAGACTGAGCCGGGGTTTAAGCCTGGGTCTTCATCTGGAACCCAGAGTTCTTCATCGGTCTGCTGTTTGTTAGAGGGAAACAGTCGGGTCATGCAGAAGAACTGACAGTAGGAAGGCCTACGGGCTACGATGGTGCCTCTGCCCAATCTTATATGCATACTGTTGGTGAAGCAAAGTTACTCTTTACAATGCAAGAAAAGCGTGTGTGTGCATACGTAAGTATGTGTGTGTCTATATATCTGTATGCATTTATGTATGTATGTATGCATAGGCATGTATGTCTGCATGCTGTGTGTGTGTATATATGTGTATATCTGTGTGTGTCCCCATGTGTGCATGTCTGTGTGTGTTTGGAGGTGTGTGTGTGTATATATATATATGTCTGTGTATGTCTGTGCATGTATGTATGTTATGTATGAGAAAGTGTGTGTGTGTGTATGTGTTTTTGAAGTGTAGATGATGATCTATGAAGGCACATACAAAAATAAAGCTTTTCTGCCTTCTGGCCCAAATAGGGAAAGCTGCCAATGGAGCTTCTAATGCTGTGAGGTGCTGTGAAACACAATCAGGCCATGGTGACAGGAGCCTCTTTGCAGCTTCCCAAACAATGGTGTTGACATTTGCTGTTCCAACTACAACAGCATTTAACCGAACTACTGGAACTCACCAACTGGTTTGCTTTTGCTTCTAGAGAAGAGGCAAATGTCAGAAGATCCACTTGGGTAGGAGGTTTCTCAGCCTACCAGGAAGGGAAAAAAAAATCTTAAAGGCATTGAAACCTGAACACCATAACAAGGTAACATACTGAGCATGGGGGTAGGGCCACAGCCAGCAGGAAAAAAAAAAAAAGCTGAAAACTCTTGCATAGGTAACAACACTTGCATTTCCATTTATATGTAGTATTTCCATTCACCATAAAAATGAATGCTACTAATACACACTGTAACATTCATGATCTTAAGATCACACTGAGCAGAGGAATCTAGAAATGCAAGTCACAAAGTGTGTGCTTCTACTTATACGGATTATACCTAATAGAGCACAGACGTGTGGCTGCCAGGAATTCGGAACTGGGGAACAACTGCTTACCTGTGCAGTGTTTTCTGCGGGTGGTGAAGCTAAGCTGGGGCTGGAAGTGGCATCTATGAATACCCTAAATGCCACTAAACTGCCAGCGTTAAAGATGCTGGCCTTCATGCTCCGTTAACCCACCGTTGGGATAAACAGAAATAAAAACACACATGCAATCCTCTAACTTATTCCCACAAACCATGCCTCTGGATGTGGCTCATACCTCTTTCAAGTATGTGGAATAACTGATTGCATCTATCCCAGAAAGTGCAAAGTCCTCAAGGCTTTTCCTTCCTGCATCATCCAACAGTTCAAAGCTACTGACATTCACATTCAGGTTTTCCAACTTATTCCTTATGTCTCCAGTATGCTGTGTGAAAGAAAAGCATTATTTTATCCTCCAAGAAGGTCACATACTCGACGCCTTCAAGAGGAATGAGACTATATCAGATCAAAAGATGCATACACTTTGATTTGAATTACTTCCTTCTCTGCCCCATAAGCATTTGATCTGGAGGTGGAATTTCAAGTGACATGAGATTGCATCTTAAAGGCCTCAGAGGGAAGACGCTGAGTCATAAGAGTGTCCACGTGAACTCCATCAGAAAAACCAGGCTGAGAGGACTCAGTGGAAATAAACTATAAAGAAGAAATGACCTCTACCCATATAGCCATGACAAATAGAGAGGCTGAAAGGACAGAGGAGGCTGGCATTCCAGGGAGGGGACCAGCAAGCACCTGGTAGTAGGACATCGTGGGAAATATCTTTGGGGAGACAAAGAGGCTGAGAATGTGGTTGCTGATATGGGGCTGTCTTAACAGCCAATCAGCAGTTTTCATCAGCGTACAGTGCCTGCCTACCATTCTCAACTGTTTCATAGTGTGGAATAGGAAAAATAGCCCATGGCATACTGGGCAAAGGAATGCAAGAAATCTGCTTAGGACTTTGTCACAAATGATGTTTTGTTTATGGGTATATTTAGGGGAGATGCTGGATACAAAGCTCCCATAACCCTTTCAAATGTCTCCACAATGCAAAGTTGGAGAGCCATCCACGGTCCCCTTTGTTCTTCTAATGGCCTTTCATGATAGCAAAGTGAGCAAGATGTGGGCCAGGACCTTCTCTCTTGGTCTTGATTGGGATCTATCTATACATTATGGAAGCTGAGAAGACCAAAGTAGGCCTCCCAGCAGGGAAACAACTAAAGTAATTTCTCTCTAGAACTGGGGCAGAAACTATTGCTTCTTCTTCTTCCAGAGCACAGTAGTGCTCTGGAATGGTCTTTCCTTGGCATCTCAAGACATAATAAGGGTGTGTGCTGGAGCACAGGTAAGATGGTGATTCTACTCCTTTGATTCCATCTGTTCTGCTTCTTGGCACAGGTGGGTAGGGACCACATTACCCGTTCAGGAGACTTGGGGTGGCGGTGCGTAAGTCCTAATGAAGACAGTGGCAACCATACTTCTCTACGCCTGGTTCCCAAGTCTAGGCACTGGCAGAGGAACTGGTCTTGAAGGACCAACATTTGGTAAGTGAGTGGGTGCTTATCTTTATAGAACATGGTTACTCCATGAAACTAATGGTTTCTCCAAAAAGTCTATCATGGTAGACCTCTTTGGAGGGTCTTGCATAGTCTACTAGAAAAACCCTGAAGAAAAGGAAGACAAGTGGTTGGGGGTGAGAAAGTGGTTGGGAATTAATAGGTAAAGGTGATGGTTACAAACAGCTTCCAGAATGAGTAGATCCCACAGAACCAAGGGAGAAGGTCATGGCCAACATCTTGCTTATTTGGCCTCATGGAAGGTCATTAGGGGTACTAAGAGGTCCATAATGGCTTTATAGTTTTCTACTGGGAAGAACTTTTATTAGAAAGGTTTACATGAGTTTTGGACCTATTGAAAAACTACTCAATGTCACTTTAAAATGGTGTGTTTTATCTTCTGTGGGCTTCACATCAGCCTTAACCACAGGGAAGAAATGTACCTCAGTTTAGTAAAGCAAGGTCAAGTTTATGACTGGCTCAAATGACTCACCTTGTTAATGTTGAAATTGTTACTGATGTTGAAGACATTCTCAAGCCGAAAAGTAGCATACACACCTCGACCACTTTTGCAATCCCTATGGGAAGAAAGAGAGAAAACATGACCAGATCAGCAGTATGGCAATCTCTGGCCATAAGGATGAGGAGAGAAATTAGTCACCCATCAGGCTAGTAGGGCCATTTATCCATCTGGCAAAGGTGCATGATGGAAAGTGAGTACAGTGTCGATCACCCGAGGTTTAGAGGAAAGGGAATATCACACACTAGAGGCTGCCTCTAAAAGCTGGACTAAAGGTAAAGAAAAAAAATCTTTCTTAAAAATTAATGTATTCATTTTACATCCCAGTCATAGCCTCCTCCCTTGTCTCCTTCTGGTCCCACCCTCCCCCTTCCCACCTATCTCTGTCCCCTAGTCCTCAGAAAAGGGGAACCCGCCTCCCTTACCAACTGAACCTGGACTATCAAGTCTCTTCAGAACTGCCTGGATTCTCTTCCTCTGTGGCCTAGCAATGTCACCTCACTCAAGGGACGCAACTGAAGCGCAGTCAACAGAGTCCATATCAGAGACAGCCTCTGGTCCCCTTACTAAGTGACACACATGGAGACTGAGCTGCCTATCAGCTACATCTGAGCAGGGGGCCTGGTCTCCATGCATGATTCTTGGCTGGTGCATCAGTCTCTGAAGGACCCCCTGGGACCAGATTTATTGGCTCTGTTGGTCTTCTTTTAGGTCCTCTCTGGGTCCTTCTCTTTCTCCCCTCTTCCATAAGACTCTGTGCCCTCTGCCCAAAGTTTGCCTGTGAGTCTCAGCATCTGCTTTGACCCTCTGCTGGGTGGAGTTTTTCAGATGACATCTATGGTAGGCTCCTGTCCTGTTCCCTCTATTAACCACATCCAGTGTCTATTTTGTTTGTCTTTCTGAATGAGAATTAAGCATCCTCCCTAGGGTCCTCCTTGTAACTTAGGTGACTTCTGGAGGTCTTGCTTTAGCACCTCAAATTCTGGGTCACCTGGCAAAATTCAGAAAGGACCTGACCTCTGTCCTGAGGAACTGAGGGATCTCCGTATTATGTGTGTGCCTGTGTGGCCATTGTACATCAAAATTCATTTACTAATGGAAATAGAAAGATCCAAAGGGGACCATGAAAGTAACCAGGTCTTCTACCCAAGAGGGAACATTTTAGGAAAGATGATTCCATGGGAAGGATGCTGACTGCTTGAATGTTTTCTCAGCCACCTCTCTACCGAGGAGAGGGCAAATGAAAGAAAAGTAAAGGGTCTGATACATATGAGAAGATTCTGTACCATGTTACTATTGCAGGAATGAAGATTTAAGAAGGTTATAAAAGGATTAGAGAAATCTGTGTATTCAGTTAGCTCTTTTGTTTTGTTTTTGAGACAGGGTCTCTTCTTTGCAGCCTTGGCTGTCTAGAACTCACTCTGTAGACCAGGCTGGCCTCAAACTCACAGAGCTCCACCTGCCCCCGCCTCCCAACTGCTGGGATCAAAGGCGTGTGTCAGCACCGCCTGGCTATCAGTTAGTTCTTACAGTGTGTCAGGCGTTACTACAAACACACGCATCTCACCTGGCCCTCACAACTCCAACGGGAGATTCCTACTGTTATGCACCATGGTAAATGGAGAGGAATTAAACTGCCCAGTGGGGCAGGAACTAGACCAGATCCCACGTGTGATCCGACTGCACAGTGCACATGCTAGCCCTAAAGCTGTCTCACTATTGTGGTGTCTTGTGATGTGTACCACTCTCCGAGTTCTTCAGGGATACTGTTAATACATCTTATTATTATTACACCTTAGCCAGGGAATCCTAGGGAATACCTAGACGGGGGACTGAGAAATCAGCAAGGCTGGCTCACAAAGGCTTGGGAAGATGACATTTGGGGGAAGGATCCTTTTCTATGATATTTTGTTGAGACTAGAAAACAGCTTAGTTCTGAAACTGGAACTTCTTACCATTAAGTTAATAATAATTTAAAAAAACACTGAAAGTGAAATTCTCATTCTTAACAATAACAATATTTTCAGCAGGAAAGTGTCTATTGCAAGAATTAATACCTGTAAACTTGATCGAACGTCAGGTTAATGTTTGGATTAAAGAGTATCAAGCCAGAAAGATAGAACTGCCATTTTTCGTTGAGCAGGTAGGGAGTGTCCAAAACCTGTAACAAACATAAACCTGTTTTAAAGAGAGTTGTACACTGACCCATATAATAATATGTATTATTCAGTTAGATATTTTGAGATATTTTATATTGTGATATTTCTTACTCGTTTCAAACTCAAATAGAAAATAGCACAATTAGAATATATAGGATGAGCACTGAGTAGCATCAATCAATCAATCAATTGAAATTGTGTTTTTAGAGAAACTTCAATTTATTAAACACATTAGAAAGAATATGTTTTTGTTTGCTTTAGAAGAATCAATAAAAAGCCAGAAAGCAATAGACTCAGTGGTTCAGGACAAAATGAATTAAAACTCATTTTCCAGATGGGCATGATGGCACACACCTTTAACCCCTGCATTCTGGAGGCAGATGCAGGCAGATCCCTGTGAGTTCCAGGCCAGCCAGGGCTACCTGGTGAGACACTGTCTTAAAAACAAAACAAAGAAAACAACCTCGCTTTTCACCTCTCTACCACACATATTTAAGTGAAGCACGCCAGTGTGGCTATGTACATGCTGTCCAAGGGGCTCAGCATCCCCCTTCCAAAATGCTTAGGATCCAGTGTTGCAGATTTATTTATTTTTTCTGATGCTAAAATATTCCCACGCATATAAAGAAATATCTAAGCTCTAGGACCCAAGACTACATATGTAGTTCACCTATGCTTAATTATTTTCTTATACACATAACTTGAAGGTAACATTCTACCATTCTTTTTTTTTTGGGGGGGGGAGATATATAGAGACGATGGGATCTGTTGACATTCTCTATTTTCCTTTGACTAACAATAATTGAAGCAATAATTGGTTACCTTGCAATCATTCACTTGTTTTTATAACATCCACCAGGTGAAAAACATACAAACAATGAAAGAGGAAAGTATAAGTGTATTTCAAAAGTCAGGATCTGAGGCTAGAAAGATAGCTCTGTAGATAAAGTGTTTGCCTGTGCAAGCAAGAGGACCTGAGTTCCGACCTAACACCCATGTGAAGGATGAATGTTGGTGTGGAACCTCAGCCCCAGAGGGCAGAGAAGAGACGATCCTGGAGGCTCCCTGCTCAGCCAGGATAGCCAGTTAGTGAGTTCGAGATTCAGTGAGATCCTGTCTCAAAAAGTAAAATGGAATAGAAAAGGACATCTGACATTGACCTCTGACCTCCATATATACATACACAATACTATACACACATACACACACAAACACACACACACACACACACACACACACACACACACACACACACACCCCACCCCACAATCAATACTGGGAAGCCAATCGCTATATTAACGAAGAAAGTGAAAGTGCAGGCCAAGTCCTGGAGTCTTTGGGAGTTGGTCTTGGGAAAAGCAAACCTAAAGTTTAATTTGTACCTGTGCCGCCTCCTTCATACATACCAGAGTAAGCCTACTACCATGTATGTGTATGTGTGTGCACCGCTATTGCAAGCAGAATTTCAACTTGTTGAATGACAACAAAGTACCTATAGTTTTTCAGTCGATGCAACCCACATGATATGGTGAGACCCACGTAGCTAAGTCTCCCATAGAAGTAGAAAGCCATATTTACCTGTAATAACTTCTTGTTTGCATAAGGTTCACAGAGCAACTTTTCCACATTTACACCAACGACAAAAGTCAAAACGACAAGGATCATCATTATCCAGCAAAAAAGGAAGCTGAATCCAACCCCTCTGGGAAAAAACACAAACAACATGAGTAATGCCTGTAAATTTTTACTAATTCCACCCACTCGTTATACACAGTGGACCTGTAATCTTCAGTGTTGTGTGGGTAAGAATGCGTTGACCTTCCACAAGTGAAGGAAGCCAGTGGTTACCACTGGAAACTTGGAAAAATGCTTACAGGACACTCATAATAATAGCGTCGGGTCTACCTGTGGTCTCGCATAGTCTAGAACCTGGGCTCTAGCGTCAGTTGAGAACCAGTTCTTTCTGCAAGGATGTATACGGTAGAGACACCAAGCAGGAAGTGTGCCTGTGGAGATCCATACTGCCAACTTCACAGGCTCTAGAATCTCCAAGGAGGTAAGCCTCTAGGCACACCAGTGAGATGTTGTCTTAGTTTGCTTTCTATTGCTGTGATGAAATGCCATGACCAAGGCAATTCATAGAAGGGTTTATTTGGCTTACAGTTCCAGAGGGCTGAGATTTGTGGTTTGTTTTTTTTTTAATATTTTTACTTTTTTATATTAATTACAGTTTATTCACTTTGTATCCCAGCTATAGCCCCTCCCTCATCCCCTCTTAATCCCACCCTCCCTCCCTCATCTCCTTTCATGCCCCTCCCCAAGTCCACTGATAAAGGAGGTCCTCCTCCCCTTCCATCTGACCCTAGTCTATAAGGTCTCATCAGGACTGGCTGCATTGTCTTTTTCTGTGGCATGGTAAGGCTGCTCCCCCATCAGGGGGAGGTGATCAAAGAGCCAGCCACTGAGTTCATGTCAGAAACAGTCCTTGTTCCCATTACTAGGGAACCCACTTGGCACTGAGCTGCCTTGGGCTTCATCTGTGTAGGGGTTTTAGGTTATCTCCATACATGGTCCTTGGTTGGAGTATCAGTCTCAGAAAAGAGCGCCGTTCCCAGATTTTTTGGTTCTGTTGTTCTCCTTGTGGAACTCCTGTCCTCTCCAGGTCTTTCTATCTTCCTTTCTTTCATAAGATTCCCTGCACTCTGCCCAAAGTTTGGCTATGAGTCTCAGCATCTGCTTTGATACCCTGCTGGGTAGAGTCTTCAGAGGTCCTCTGTGGTAGGCTCCTGTCCTGTCCGCTGTTTTCTCCCTCTTCTGATGTCTCATTTGCCTTTCTGAGTGAGGATTGATCATCTTACCCAGGGTCTTCCTTCTTGCTTAGCTTCTTTAGGTGTACAGATTTTAGTATGTTTATTCTATATTATATGGCTAATATCCACTTATAAGTGAGTATATACCCTGTGTGTCTTTCTACTTCTAGGATACCTCACTCAGGGTGATCTTGTCATGATAGAGAAGCACAGCAGCAAGCAGCAGACATGGTGGCTGGAGCAAAGACTGAGGGCTTTCGTTTTGAACCATAAGCAGGAGCCAAGAGCCAGCATTCTCCACTTCCTGCCTCCTGCCTGTGGATGCAGTGTGACACTCTAGCTCCTGAAGCTATGAGTTCCTCGCCACAGTGGACATGCCTCAAACTGTCCAAATACAGCCTTCCTCCCTCCTGTTGCTTATCAGTGGTGCACACGTAGATCAGTGATGTGGACAGGTATGTTCATAGATCCATGGTGTGAACAGGGGTGTGGGCATAGGTGTGGGCATAGGTCAATGGTGTAGACAGGTATGTACACACTAACTCACAAGTGCTTATACTCTGACCAACTTGTCCACCTTGCAGCTGGACATTTCAAAATCATTTTTTTCTGCTTTTTAAAAATAGGTTTTATTTTGTTTATTAACAGCCCAGCTGTCCTGAAACTAGTTCTACAAACCAGGCTTGCCTCAAACGCACAGTGCTCTGCCTGCCTCTGCCTCCCGAGTGCTGGGCATGTATCACCACCGCCTGGCCAGACCTTACCACCTTAACACAAACTATGGAAACACATCCATGCTCAGGAGGGGTCTTCCAGAGCTTGCGCTCTCTCTCCTTCCCAGAGGTGACAGGATGGGAATTACTAGGCAAAGTACATGACAGTGTCTCCGTGGCATTTGCTAGAGTCTTGCAAATGATCTCCTAGCCATACAGATATGACTACTATGTGACACCTGTGGCTCTCCTGGGATGAATTTTTCTTCTGAGGTCTAGAATGATGATCTGGACGCTGTTGTTCAAGAGCTAAAGGGGGGAGTTTTGTTTGAGCTTCAAATAAACAAACGACAAAGCTTGTTGATGCTGCTAGGTCTGCCCCCTAATCTCTGCAAAGCCTCACATTTTATGCTGTGTTCACCCTTTTATCCCTTATAGTCTCTAATATGCTCTGGGGACCCTCTGAAGATTCAATGAAAGGACCTCTAGATCATCATGAGGAACCTTTTGGGAAACCAGTTTTTGAAAGCGACCATGCTCATGAACAGAAGGTGTTGCTATGTTCACAGAGCATGTGGGGACATGGTCGCAGCAGAACTAGAGGTAGGCTCTGTGGTTTGCACAAGCAAGGACACAGTTTGGAAGCAGAAGCTGTAGCCTTCTCATGGGTCTGAGCTAAACAGCACTGGGACCCAACCTTCCCTTTGCAACTGTGCAGTTGTCTCTTAGATGTCGCAGGGGCTAGAAACCTGCAAGCACAGCCAGAAATTTCAGCAGGAGCAATCAAGCCTGCCCTGTGCAGAGGTGGAGTTCAGTGGTAAAGAAGACAGAGGCACCGACATCTATGGCCCTTCTGCAATGAATCTGATGGCATCTGACATTCTTAACATGTCTCCTGCCTCCATCCCAAATGTTTCCATGAGCCTTTGCCTCTGTAAAGACTCCTTAATCTGCAGAAAAATATCTAAACTGAAGTAGCTTGTATCTCCATCAATCTGAGAATGATGTATTCCTTGCTTGCTTGTTTGTTTTAAGCCAGATACCATAATTTTTTTTTTTGTTGTGGTTGTAGCCATAAATTTTTTTCTTTCTTTCTTCTTCTGTTTTGTTTTGTTTTGTTTTTCTTTTTACAAACTTATCAAGGCAGTAATTTTTCAAGTAGTTTGCTTCTTGTCAAGCAGTTATTTTGATGGAATATATATGCCACCAGGATGTGTCCCAAATAGTCAGTTACGTGGGCTATAAAAGTCTTAACATTAAACTAATCTACTTGTGTCTATGTTTAATTGAGCACAAAGGCAAAATAAATCCTTGCTGGTGTAATTTGTATTGTTTTTTTTCCCTTCCATGTTGAGAGGTACTTTCATTTGGAGATCCATTCATCCATCCATCCATCCATCCATCCATCCATCCATCATCTCTCCTTCCCTTCCTCTTTCCCTTCTTCTCTCTCTCTCCCTCCCTCCCACCTTTGGGTTGCATTCAGAGCCTTGCACATGCTAGGCTACCTCTACCTGCCACTTCTACAGTACTACAGTAGAATGTTTTAAAAAAATATGTGTGTGAGCAAATAGGCTTCTCTTGTAGAGTACTTCCTCCAGTCCTGGCAGCCCCCAGGTCAGTCACGTTAAGGCTATTTTCAGAGATATCTACATTAGTGTTCATAAAGGCACATGATCCTAGAGCCTGTTTGGGGGAAAGAACTTAGACACACAGAGCACAAGAAATCTGATTATGATCGTGACTCTGTGTTTAAAGAGGCGGATCAATGCATGGCACCTGCTCTCCAGTCTTCCTCCTCAAACCAGTGACAGTAGAAGCACATGGCTGATATTTTGGCTCTCCATCTCTCAAAGGAGGTGTTACAGATCCTTACTTCCCTTTGCACCTGCTTACATATCCTAGCATTGTTTTCAACGAGAGAACTTGAAGGCCACCAGCTTTCTCTGTGGCACATTTATTGCTATTGTGACTATATCCAGTTTAGGGTTCTGGTGCCATCATTATGCACACTGTCCTTGCCTGCTAGGCTTTGTTTCAGTATCTTAAAGGCTTTCCAAATATGTGAATTTATGTATGGCTGTCTTTAAAGCAGAGATAATTGCTCCCACACCTAACACCTACTCTTTGTCCTCAAGTCAGGCTACTTGTCTAAATACCAAGGGTGCTGAGTTGGCAAAACCCTGCTTTAACTCAGTCTCCTGGAGTTTCAAAGTTAGCTGTACTGCTGACTGTAGAGAATGGTGTTCCTGTTTCTTGTGAGAGTAAGTGATGAGTGAATGAGTGAATTAATGCAGATAATGAAGGAACAATGGGTATTAATCAGCTTGGAAATGATTTTCATGACAGGACCTTTTAAAAGCACCTGTATTAACAATATCATATCTAAACAACATGAACTCAGAGGCTCCAATGTGAGATCAAGAGGCTCCAGGTTTCATAACAGCACACTCAGCACCGCCCTCCTCTTCCCATTTCTACCTCCCTGTGACAGAATAGAGCAAACACTTACACCATGAGGAAGATGCCTCCAGTGTTGGACATGCAGCCTCTTCCAGTTGGGGTGGCACGCTTGTTATAGCCAAATACACCACAGAACAAGCCCAGGAAAAAGAAAGTCGCAATGAGGGTCAGCAGGAAGCAGACAATCAAGCTACCCAGCCACCTGGAGAAAAAAAAAAAAGATACAGTGTTATCATACAATTTTTGGTTGTGAGTCCAGTCTTTAATGGCAGGACGATCTTTTCAGTCCCATTATTATACGTCAAATAGGCAGTGACTGCAATGGGAAAGACTTCATGACAAGAGTCCTTTACACCCCTACTTTTTAGCCAAACCAGCCAATACATTTTCCTCTTGGCTTTGTAGTGCCAACCCTCCAGTAGTGATGAACATACGCACATATCACATGGTGCTCAGAGCAGGCCTAAGCTTCCTCACGGCTCTGATCGAAACACACCTAAGACATTCAAGTCCTGTCAGATCTCATAGTGTTGGAAGCTGTGCTGAGGGTCTGGGTAGGCAACAGAGAAAAAACAGCAAGCTCCTCTCCCTTTCTCAAAACTCTTTTGGGGTTACAGGAATATTCTGGGACATCATGTTCCTTACCAAACCAGAAATACTGTGTGACAGATGCATGAGACATTTAGAATTTTATGAGCATCTTAAATCAAATGTCTACAGAGTGCAAAGCTTAATTTTTGTAATGGTCCTGGGAGACATTTTAGGATAATGGAGCCTCAATTAGGTCTACTGGCATTCTCGGAATGTGCACCAACTTTCCCAGAAGCTGAGGAGCACTCAAGGCTAAAAATGTTTCCCAATGTTTAAGACACTAAAAAACAATAGCATCTGTTCATCTTGGGGCATCCTGACAGAAGCTTTTCATTCAATTAAAAGCAGTTTTGGTAATTACAGTAATAGCTACCAGCAGCCATTCTGTGGGAGGTTCATTCCAGATCTCAGGAAGGCCAAATTAAATGAACCATGGAGCCTGGCTGCAGAAAAGTGTCAGAGTCAATGAGTCAAATGATGAGTTAAAATATTTTTCAAAACATCAAAAGCTTTATGGTCTCTGGGCAAGGGTGGAGGAAGGAAGGGAGAGTAACTGGAAGAGGCAGATAGATAATTGGGCTATGCTGTCCCATTTGTTGCAACTCAGTCTCTTAACAAGTTTGTAGGGTCCCAGAGGGAAGTTCTGTCTTATGTCTGCCCCAGGGTCTGCTGGGGTGTCCCAGCCTCACAATGGAAACATTACATGAGCACCCGAAAGCTTATCCATTGCAATGATCTATGGCCTTAAAGGGTTCCTTTCCCTTTCTGAGCCCAGAAGCCTTGTTTACAGAAAGCGTCAAGCACAGAACATAACTCAGCAGATGTCAGGGATCACTGTCAGAAGTACCATGCATAAAATGCTTAGTAAACACATTGAACATCTTCCCCTAAGGCTACAGTCTTCTAATTTGTTTTTTTCTCCTCATACAAAAAGTCAGCCAGGTGAAAGAGATCCTCTAAACTGTCTAGAGGGCAAATTCTAAGTCTGCACCCCCCAAAGAAGAAAACACACCCTACATCTCATGGAACTTCTAAATCCTTCCCGCTTCATTCTCTGTTTTAAATGTTCATCATTCCAAACAAGACCAACTCCATCACCTGCATTATTTATAAGCCCTGGGTACAGCCCTCTGCCCCAGCTCAGACACCAACATAGTGGCCTTATAGCACAGCTAAGACAACCAGATTCCTTCAGAAAATACCTACCTCTGTGCATTTGTTTCACAGATCATTGAGGATGCTTTTCCAAATACCCTTCCTGATTACTTTTATGCTTCCCAAATCCTGCTTACTAACTGTAGTAAAGATTGGAGAAACAATGAACATCAAAATCCTAAACTGTTGGCTATGTGGCTCAAGGATTTCCAGCCCCCCGATTTTTGCTTTTAAACTCGGAGTGTCTTATGAATACACGTGTCACCTTTACTCAGAAGCGATGCTAACCATTTCTGTATCGTCCCAGTTTTGCTCTGTGAGCTGCCGTAGTGAGCACTTAGGCTGTGTGTGTGCATGGGTATGTGACACATGTATAAACATGCTTTTGTAGGGAAGAGTTTGATGTCACTCCCCACCTTAATTTTTGAGTCAGGGGTCTTACTGAAGCCAGAGCTCATCAATTGGCTGGTCTTAGATTGGCTGGCCTTCAAGCTCCAGGGCTCCACCAATACTTCCTCTCCCCAGTACTAGGGTTACACTGCCCATCTTCCCTGATTTTATTTATTTATTTTAACATGGGTGCTGGGGACCCAAACTCAAGTCCTCAGAATTGTACTGCAAGTGAGATTTAGTGCAATGCTCTCTCCCAATCCCCTTTCACTTTCAAAAGTGAACAGAGCTGGGGGTTGTCCACAGCAGGCCACAGCCTCTTTATCCCATTTGGTTTCATAAGGTTATCATGGAATTATGTTTTTATACCCTCACAAAGCAAGCTTCAAGCTTTTCATTTGCCAGCTCCAAAAGGGCCACTCACAAGTATGAGTCATATTCTTCCAGTTCGGGCAGCTTCTTGTGGAAGTAACTGTTGCTGTCATTAAGGTAACGGGAGAGCCCAGACAGAACCACATCAATAGGAACACTTTGGGTCATATTCATAACGAAAGAGCTGATAGAATCCGAGGCCGTTTTGAATTCTGAAAAGAAAGGGACCTCAGTTACTCACTTTCAAACATAGAAGACAGAGACCTTGTTTGAGACCAAAAAATAAAAAGTCACTTAAGTTTTTCCCATGTGTGGATTTCTAACAAAGTAAGATTCTACAGTAAGCACCAATAGAGCCAAGACTACCTATAAGCAATGGCCAAACAAAACAGTGGATCTAACTGTAGACTTAGGTGGTAGTAAAGTCAAGCCAGTCTTCCTCCTCTAATATCTTGAAGAAAGAAGAAAGAAAGAAAGAAAGAAAGAAAGAAAGAAAGAAAGAAAGAAAGAAAGAAAGAAAGAAAGAAA